CCCCAAAACCCCAAAACCCCAAAACCCCAAAACCCCAATTTTAAATAAAATTTGAATAATATTAATGGAGCAAAAAGGCAATAACCACCTGCCCAATATAATCCAGGGCGCTTATGGAAGAGCTGCCAAAAGAGTAATAGAAAAAGAGAAAGAAACATTAATAACACAAGCTGCGAATCCCAGCCTTGACCCTCAAAGAAAAAGGGCGAAACGCCTGCTTTGGGATAACCTCAATCGACAAAAGTAAGCAAGTATCGCTAACCTTCAGGAGAATTGAGCAAAAAGATGCTGAACGCAGAATTAAGCTGTTAGACGAAGAAAACAACAAGCTGCTTCAGCTTAAATAAGGAAAAAGAGGTGTTTTATAATAAATATCTCAAGAAAGAACAATTTTCAGACCTTCCTGAGCGCAAACCCGAGATGAACGATACTATTAGCACTATATCTCAGGAAGAAATAGATACAAAGTTTCGGAATTACCAAAAGAAAGAAGTACGTAGTAGCCTCACCCTCGAATCTGAGGATAATCAAAAGTAAGCTTACTAACAGTATGGAGTAACATTTGTAGGCCAAAAAGAGTCATAACAAGAGAGACCAGAATTCCAGTCCCAAGCTTCGCCAAGAACAACCATCGATTACGCAAGAAGTGGAATAGACCTCAAGAGCAACAGGAGCATAAAATCAAAATAGATGCTCTTAACCTAGAAATGTCTGAAACGTTTAAACAAGGCAAGCTTAAAGAGGCCTTAAAACAGAAAGAAGAAGATGTAGTCATCCCAAAGGGCAAACTCCTCGACTCTCTTGACCTTAACACTGGTCTAAGAGTTATCGAGAAGAAAAAGGAAACTTTAAAGATGCCAGCTATCTCAAAACGGAAGCCTATGAACTATATTCCTCCTAAAAAAGTAGCCAACAATGAGCTCCGAGACAGCCTTGAAGAGATAGATTTCTCAGAGAAGCCCAAGGTAAGACTCTTCACTAAAATCTAGGAGGAACCACCAAAACTAAAGAAAGAGCCCAGCTACGATTCTGACTTTGAACGGGATGAAAATGATAACACTGATTGGCTCAGACAAAGCATGAGGGAAAGTATGGCAAAATGGAGTAAAGAAGTCTCCCTAATGAACAAAGAAATTCAAGATCTTGGTGAACGCATCAACCTTAACAAGAAAGGAAATCTTCAACATAAAGAGAAAAAGCCCAAGAAGAAAATAGAATTTAATGATGAAGTAGAAGTTGCTAAGGTAGACTTCTGAGAATCACCAAAAATGATCAAGAGAGGAAAGAGAGTACTAAATAAGTCAAAGAGTCCGATTAATAATAACAGAGTGACCAAACCAGTCCAGAAGAAGTCTCAATCCCGATCTAGGTCGAAAAATAGAGATTTTAAGCCATTCGAGCCAAAGCAGATTCCTCTTGATGAATACTACAAACTTCTTGAAGAAAGAACTAAAGAGAATGAACCAACTGAGACTCCTGAAATAGCTAAGAACACTAAATATAACTGGGAGCAAGTAAAGGAGAAATTTCAAGAGGAAAAGGAAGATTTTTGGAATGAAAATCAACCGAATAAGCACAAAGAGTCTCTTAAGAACAACTTCATGGACCAGAATGAAGATAGCCTGTTCTCAAAATTTAAAGAACATAAGAAGAAAGATCCTAAATTTGAGAAATTAAAGGCTAAAGAACAGAAAATCTCAAGGCAGCAAGAACTTCAAAGAGCTCGAGAGGCTAAAAAGAAGCTTAAAGTCGGTGAAGCAACAGATATTCAGGAAGAACGCAAACAAGCAAAGCTTAAGAAAGCCAAAATGGATGAAATCAAGAAGAAATATACTAACATTAGTAGATCTAGAAGCCGTCACCGGTCAAAATCTAATGGTCCTAAGTCATGCATCACAAAGCTTGGTCAGAATCGATCGGAAATCCAGGTCAAGCCTAAAATCCCAACTGGCCAGAGGCAAAGAAAAATCAAGGATACTCAAACTGAAATAACTCGGGGAAGGCTCCGTCCTAACAAATTCCGTAAAATATCCCCAGATGACACTACGAAGTGCACTAGAGATGATGATATAAACGTTGGACAGTTCCTCTGGGATGATCTAGCATATCTGAACCAAGAAGAGGCTAAACTACAGCAACAAATCTTAGATGATCATAAAAATACCATCATGCAAGTAAAAGCTGTAGAGAAAAAACACAATATTGATACTGGAATCACTAGTACTAGACAGATAGTGAAACAGCTAAACTCCTTAGACCCTTACGAGACCATGAAGAAGTTTCAATACAAGAAAGAGGATGAAGAACAGATAGAAGAAAGCCTAGAAAACCTCAACATTCTTCTCGCCCAAAAAGGAAAAGATCAAAAAGAAAAGAAGAAAGTGTATAAAAAGATGGCTGATAAGATGAACATTCGGCTAGATTCCACTTCTCCTGTCCGTTCTGTCCCAGTGGCCTCTCAGCATCACCAAAATCCTGCTAATCCCTTCTCATACGCTCCTGAGCCATACCAGCCCACTGAAATTCCCAGTTTCAAACCTCGTAGTGTTCTTCCTTCGACCACAGGGATTTCCCAAGTGACTGATCCCAAGTCTGCGATCACTGCTCTTCCTTCTAAGGGGGCAGGCAAGCCCTTGCTGGGCGCTGCTCCACAGGCTAAAATCGGGTCGTACCTGAATGCACACAATTTAGCAGCGATTGACCAGACCAAGAAGGAGGCAGAGCTTGAAGAGACTTATAGCTCAGATGGATTCGAGGACTATAATGAAGTTTGTGAGGAGATTGGCAAAGAGAAGAAGCAAGGAGGCAAGTTTAGGAAACATGCACGGGGTATCCCATCTAAAGGACCCAAGCAGACCTCTGGGACTGCTCAAGTTCAAGAAGGGCTGTGCGAAGACTATGAAGAGGATTTCGAAGAACCAGAAGTCAAAGAACGAGTCTTTGTGAACCCGAAATTTAAGATTATGGATTAATATTTGAAACACAGTGGAATTAGGGGTTTTGGGGTTTTGGGGTTTTGGGGTTTTGGGGTTTTGGGGTTTTGGGG